AATTTTAGGATAGTTCATTTCTTTTCTATTTCTGTAAAGAAAAAGATGGAGATTTTGATTGTGATTGCATTAAAATTCTAAATTGCATTTGATAGAACACTCATTTTTACAATATTAATTCTATCAATCAAAGAGCATGATTCATGTTTCTACTTTCTAGTGTCTTTATCCCTTTCTTTAGAGATTTAAAGGTCCTTCATATCTTTGGTTTGATTTATTCCTGGGCATTTAATTTTCTTTGAGGCTACTGTGAATGAGAGGCTGTTCATGATCTCTTTCTCTATATGTTTTCTGGTTGGTAGCGGTAATGGTGGATCACATTTTTGCTTGTTTCTACAAATCTTCTGGGGAATATTTGCAATCTCTAACATGTAATATCATGTCATTTAAAAATAGAGATAGTTTAATTTATTGTTCTCAGTACCTCTTTAATTTCCTTTTTATGCCTTAAGTTGTCTGGCTGGTGCTTACAGTATTGAAAAGAGGTGGGAGCAAAAGCTCAGTTTTGATAAATGTATTTTTATGATTCCAATATTTTCATCTTTCCTGAAGCTTTACATGCTACCAGTTTTGATCATTTCTTTCTGATTGAAAAGTTCTAGTAACTACTATTTTATAGTGTGTCTACTGGGCAACACAGGAGTTTTCTCTTGCCTGAAGAATATTTTTATTTTGCCTTCTTTTTTAAATTGAAGAATATTAGAATTTGCACTTGGCAGTCATGTACTCTCAACATTTTAAAAATATGACTTAAAACATTCAAAGTTTCAGACAAAAACTCACTGTCATTTCAGTGATTGTTGTTTTAGAGTTAATGTCATACTATCCTGAATATTTTCAAAACTGACCTTTGCCAAGAAGTATTATTATATACATATACAATATACATAATTTCCAGTTTTATTATAAATATACATAATACACATATACATACACATGTATATATATATGATGTATATATATACATGTGTGTATATATATGTGATTATATATATACACACACGTGTGTGTATATATATGTGTGTGTGACTGACTGCATGAGGATTTCATGTAATATACATGTGTGGGGTATACAAATACATGTGTATAGTGAGGTGTTTTTCAACCTATGCCTCTGTTTTCAAAAATAACAACTTTGAGACTCAAACATATTTACAAATACCTAGACCACATAGCTGCGCATGTTCCTCTAACTAACTCATGAGTTAATGCCTCATTTATTTGAATCTAAGTTCTTCCACATGGCTGATTACCTGTATCCCAGTTCCATGAGTCTCCTGTTTCATATCCCAGTGTGCATTCTCCCCTTTCTCTCTATCCCAGAACTCAATCACTCTGCTGGATGTCCTACCTTCTATTTCCTGCCTAAGCTTATAGACAAATCAGCATTTTATTCATAGCCCTGCATCTGTACACTACACAAGAGATTCTTTCTACACTTTTATGTATTTGTTTTAACTTATTTTATGTTGTTAATTGGACATCATATTTGGTGATTTTTTTTTCCAAATCTATGAAAATTTTAGCCTTTGTTTCTCTGACTATTTCTTGACCACGTTTTATTTGTTTTGATTTATGCGATTTTGGTAGTTTTATTTCTTGATGTGTTATATTAGCCCCAAAATTCTCCAGTCATTTCCTTGTTTTTGTCTATTTTAGTCTAATTGTCCTGCTATTTGAACTGTATTTCTTCTATTGTTTTATCTTCAGGTTCAGTGATTTTTCTAATTTTCTAGTAATCAGCACAACCAGTCAATTTTGTTCATTTATTCAGTTATTTTTATAACTTCTATTTGGCTCTTAAAAACAATTTCTTTGAGCTGAAGATGGTTACTTTCAGCTCTAATGCCAGCATTCTGAAGCAAAATGATTCAAGCTTGAAGCCAGATTGGGCTACATGATGAGTTCCAGGCCAAATAGTGCTATAGAGATAATATCTTAAAGAACCAAATTTGCCTAAAAGATTTCATTAATGTGCTTTGATATTTTAATTTTATCTCATATTTAAATGTATTTTGTAATTGTTTGTCAATGCATTTTTTGGGTGCTTTAAAATCCTTGTTAAGTAATTCCAATAATTGATTAATCTAGCTGGTGGTACCTGATGATTGTCTTTTTTTCATTAATCTGATTTTCTTGGTTCTTGTTATCATGGGTGTTTCATTGTGTCTGATAATGTGTTTCATCAATTATTTGTCTAATAATTTTTTCAGGAGACTCAGAGTCCTACTAAAACCTTCCATTTAGCAGGCTACATTAACATACGGGTTCCAGCCTTTTTTGTTGATGTCACTTTGAAAGACTAATTTTCTGTATCCCTGGTGAATTATTTGGTCTGTATAGTATTTTAGTACTGCTGGATCTTACATTACTCTGCTATTTGATATTTGGAAAGATGTTTCTGGAGAAATTTTTCTATTTATCTCATGTGAAGTAAAGAAGTCTCTGAGTTTTGGAGATTAAGAAAATTTCTATGACTATAGATGTTGTAGGATACTACCTGGCTGTATACACTCCAACATACAGCCTTATGTAATAGCATTCTTAGTCCCACAAGATTAAGAGACTAATTGAACTGAGTACTTGTATCAATATCCCTGTTGCTCATGTCTCCTAAAATGTAGTATCTCTGTTGAAGTCTCATGAGCTAGTCAACTCTTTTGACACAAAAAATTCTCACCTTTAAAATAGGGATGATAATGCAATCTTAGAAGTTTTTATGGTGAATAAAAATGTATAAATGTCCCTGACAGCAGGGGTTTTTTTTTTACTCTGATACTTTTAATCATTTACTCATAATACCCATGGCAGAATCATAATATATATTAGTTGCTTAATAAATATTATATAAATTAATCAGTAAAATCAAGGAAAATTCTAAACAATCAGTAAAATTATTATTTAATTATCAGTGAGTATTGATTAATTTCTATCATTGTTTCTCTAATGAGGGAGTTAATAGGGACTCATGTCTTGTTCTTCTATACTACTGGTTTACTTATTTCAGAATACATAACAATATGTAGTGTTGCTTGTTTCAATTATTATGCACTAGGCATGATGATAACAACAGCATTTGGTTTTTACTCAAGGTCCCTGGATATCTAGTCTTACTCTCTTGGTCCTCCAAGCAGTATTGGGTATGGTTTCCATCTTCTGGGTGGATCTTAAATCAAGTCAGATATTTGGCTACTCCCACAAGCTTTGGGGCACCATTGCCTTAGCATATTTCATAGTAGGAAACTGTTTTAGATTAAAGAGTTTGTACCTAAGTTGATGCTTATATTTCTCCTTTGGTAGTATACAAAGAACCTTCTGATACCAAGAACATCAGTCATTATGGGTGAAGGCTCTCCATAGGCACCGGCTAGAGTTCTCCGTGTTTAGTAATTTGTGTAGGTGTTGTCTTCAAGAATTGGGGCTATTCATTGGTTTGTAGAAAAATGCCTATAGTCTTGATCACAGCCTGGGTTGTTTGGGGGTTCCCATGGGACCCCTTTTAATTCAATTAAATATAATGCAGTTCCTCTATTCGAGACTTTGGAAACAAGAGATGTCCAGTTGGAGGATCTGTCTCTTCCATTATTTGGCTGATTCATTTAGATTGCCTTCATGTGTGGATATACTTTAAGAAACTTCTACTGTATCAAGTTTCCAAACTACACTCAAATGACTCTTAATTTTAGTTGTTTCGCCCCACCTTCTCCCCCTCATCTTTCTCTCCCCTTCCCCACCCTACTTGATCTTCTCCAGTACCCTGGCCAGTTCATCCATAACTATATATTCTATTTCTCCTTTCTGTCCATCTCCTTTTTAGATTATAGCTCAATTATAATTGGTTTAGCAGCCAATATCCACATATTCGCAAATGTACATCATATTGGTCCTTCTGGGTTTGGGTTACATTACTCAGGATGATTTTTTTTCTGGTTCCATCCATTTACCTATGCATACATTTTTAACAGGTGAGTAATGCTCCATTGTAAAAATGTACCACATTTTCTTTATCCATTCATCTGTTGAAGGACATCTAAGTTGTTTCCAATCTCTGACTATTATTAATAGAGCAGCAATGAACGTTGTTGAACAAGTGTCTCTATGGAAAAATAAAACATCCTTTGGGTATATCCTCAAGAGTGGTGTAGCTGAATCTTGACGTAGATTGATTTCCATCTTTTTAAGGAACCACCACACTGATTTCCATAGTAAAAGAGATAAAATTATCTTTGCAGAACATTTATTTTAATCTCTTCAAGTATTCAATTCTCTTATGCACAGAAAGAATGGGTTTGAGGTAATAACCCTTGTATCATCACACTGATATCAGACCTGAAGCAAAAGTCAGATAGATTAATTTTCCAGTGGATATTAAAACATTTTTACAATGACCTAGTATAAGAAGTAATTTTTCATCAATACCTAACATATACTAAAATGTGTTTAACCTATGAAAGTTTTAGCTAAAACACTAAGTACTAATTATTCTTTATATCAGATATTTGCTAGTATGCACCCTTTGATGTATTATTAAATTTGGCTTTCTTGAATGATTTATACTTAATAACGATCAGTTGTCATGTATGGCCTGTGCCATATGGAGAAAATAAGTGTATTCTTGGGAACAAAATGTTCTCTTTTACCTTGTGTTCCTATCATGCAAGCACAAAGTGAAACCTTTCATGTATGGGATTGGATGCCCCATTGTCGCTGATGTAGGCCCCAACTCTCATTAAGTCTCTAATAGGCAGAGTGTGAGTAAGACATAAACTAAAATTTGGGTTTTTCATAGTGTAATCTTCTTTATTTTGATTGATGCACTTAGCTTTACTTCATTTTATGTCACTATTCTATTTAGTAATATTTCAATTTTCAGTGCTGGTTAACAGTTGGTAAATTTATGTAATGACAAGTTGAATGAAACTTGTAGTTTGAAAACAGTACGTTCACTTGAGTTATAACATTCTCTCCCTAAACTCTTATGAACACCTTCTATATTTCAGGATTGTGGTTATGGAGAAGGTGGAGATGCACACTGCATAGCCTGCCCTCCCCGAAAGTATAAAAGCACTTGGGGACATCACAGATGTCAAACATGCATCACTTGTGCTGTCATCAATAGGGTCCAGAAGGCCAACTGCACAAATACCTCTAATGCTATCTGTGGAGACTGTCTGCCCAGGTAAGCCTACTAAACTGTATACATCCTTTTGAAAAATTTTAACATTCTTTGATGCCCTTTATTATACTACCTCTTAGACCCTTAGTGAAAGTATTCAAAGGATCAGTTTCATGCTCTAGTTAAGCTCCATGAATGAGGAATCTGTATCTTTCTAACTAGACATATCTATACAAAGTATCCAGGAATTTTCAAACACAGATGAAAATTTAGAAGCTTTTTAATCATGCTGATACTCTGCCTAAAATTTAAAGTAAGTGTCATGTTAGATAGACTACACAGGAATCATGAAGAAGTTGGCATCATATAACTGCTTGTCTGTCTCATGACCTTAGCTCTCCTTTGAGCTATAGGATATGGATAATCAGAAAGAAGATGAACTGAATCACACTTGGCAGAGATCTCACAAGGCACTCTCATAAAGAAAAGACTCACAAACATTTCCTATCATCTCAGAAAGGGCTGTTACAAGTCAATTGCTGTTTCACCATTCTGCCACTCCTTTCTGCTCTGATCACAGGTTCTACCGAAAAACACGCATTGGGGGCTTGCAGGACCAAGAATGCATCCCATGTACAAAGCAGACTCCTTCTTCTGAGGTTCAGTGTGTGTATCTATTTTTTCTCTTTTCTTCCCCAAACCTCTGTTAGTCAACAAAATCAATAAACTTCTTTATCCTTGTAGGAGGAAAACAATTCTTTGCACTCATTCCTTTGGCATATTGAACAGAGGCAGTCGCCTATGATTAAATCCCAGCATTTTAGCATTCAGAATCATTGAACCTCATTTCCCTTGTATTAAAAAAAATGTATCTAATGAGAAAACATTTGTATTCATACTTTGTGAGCTACCTGGCTAGGTTTGATGGATTAAGGAATGATACAATGTATTTTAAAAATAACACTTCTACACTTAATTGCTATTAGAGTCAATATTGCTATTAGAGTCAATACATATAGCATATGGAAATCCTTAGGTCTTAGACTACATTAGGAGCTGAAAAAAGGGCTAGAACCTAGTTTCTGCCTGTGTCACTAGACATTTACTTATTTGTCTGATAGTCTAAATTGTTGCCTACCTTCTCACATACTCTTTAAATTATTGGTGTTTTCCTAAAAATCATGACACATAAAACAGTTGCTGCAAATAAATATAACTATAAAAGATAAAATCCTATATTATCTGAGATGCTTAGATAATTAATCCCAAAATTTTGCATATTTCCTTCAGACTTTTTAAAACAATTGGCATAATAAACTTCCCTTTAGGTCCTTTCTGAGTCTTCTGTCCTTAACCTCCACAGAATCGAATACTTTTCTTAAATTTTTAGAAGGTTTTTGCTAGGCTATCCTGTGGCTAAAAAGAAAATAAATCCTATGCTTCTTTTCATAAGACAAAGGCTTTCTTCCATCATGGTCCTGTGATTGCTAGGCCAGGTAGTATTCAGTTCCTTATTACAGAAAAGAAATAGTTAAGATGTTACAAGTCGGAAGGTGACTCGGTCGAAAGGTGATACGCATTGTTTCTACTCAAAGTACATTGGTATTTTGTGTATGTTGACAGCTTTACTGTAAGGATGTATACAGAGTGTGGTGAATTCATTGGCATATTTCTCTGCCTTATTCTCTACTGCTAGCTATTTAAATGATTGTATTATTTCACATGTATTCATATTCTTAGACAATATTTGCTGTTACTTTGTGTTTTATAACATTTTCTATAAAGGTCATAAGCTATCCTTTCTTCACTTTGTTTATCTCCACTGGGTTATTTATATTAATCAATGAAAGGTCTTTTATGACATCTTAGAAAAAAATCACAATTTACTGATCCAGTGTTCACTGATGAGCATTTTAATCTGGTAATATTTGTTTTTAGGTTACATTACTAAACATAGCATGAGTGAAGCATAATATGGCATCTTTTGGTTAGTGATGCTAATTTATACTATCTTGCAGCATATTATCTCTGCTTCATTTTATTATAATTTTACTTATTCTCAAATATGAAGATAGGAAACCTAATAAAGAAGGCCTAAATGAGAAGATGTGGCCTATAGAACTTTAGGGCCCTTGTCAGAATGACAGTTAATTGCCCACTTTGACTGACCTTACCCATTGTTTTTTTTTATTTTTGTTGTTGTTTCACAGGTACCTTCCAGTTGAGCTTAGTGAAGGTAGATGCACACACTGTTCCCCCTAAGGAAGCCACACTTGTTGCACTGGTGGGAAGTCTGCTAGTGGTATTTGCCCTGGCCTTCCTTGGACTCTTCTTCCTCTATTGCAAGCAGATCTTCAACAGACATTGTCAGTGTAGTAAGTATGTTTATTTAACATTTCACATGAAACAGAAGTAAGACACTTCTTCCTTCTTTCTCTCTCTCTCGTCCTCTCCTTCCTTCCTTCTTTCTTTCTTTCTTTCTTTCTTTCTTTCTTTCTTTCTTTCTTTCTTTCTTTCT